TCTTCAAAAAAAAAAAAAAAAAACGAAAAAAAAAAAGAAAAAAAAAAGGACAATGATTATATTACGTCGTTGATTAACATACCATATACCATAAATTCTTTGGGGAACATAATATTTTTGTCTGCTGCATGGAGAATTTATTTATTTTATTTATTTTTTGGTTCTACACTTGCACATTAACCTATGGTGCACTGTTCCTATTTTTAAATCTCAGATCTCTATATCTTCCATTAGTAGAATAATTTCCAGACATGTCTTGTCTGCCTCACTGCTGAAAATATTACTTATCTCATAATGTAGACGATGGCTTCTTCCTTGCAGCTAAAATTTTGTTTTTCTGGTTGATCATAAATTTTATCTATTCTCTTCCCTTGAGTACCAGGTTAATCTTGGTTCCACCGTGGATACACCGGCCCTGGTGCCTCTCGATGCAGATGTTTCTGCTTCGATCCACAATGGATTTGGGTCGAATGACCCTAGGAGAGGGGAAAGTGAAATAAAAGGTGTTGAACTTAGCCCAGAACATTTAGCTCCAGGGGCTAACACACCAACAGAGATCTCTCTTTTTCAGACGCTGATTGCAGCTTTAATTCCTGAAGAAGGAAATCAAGAGCTTTGCAGCAGTGGAAATGAAGACTGCAGATTTGATGTGTATGGATCTCGTTTTGAAATGGAAAAAGATATGGATTCACATACTTTCTGCTCGCTGAGGTCTCAAAATCGTGATATTTCCAGATATTCTGCTTCTAATGGTTACAGGATAAACGCTAATGGAGAAATCTTCTATGAACTGGACCCCACGTTTCCAGATCATGATGGCAGTTCTATTCCAGACACTGGAATTATTCCAGTCTGCAATCATTTGCAAAATGGTTTACTTTCAGACCAGATTACACCTGGCGTAGAATGTTCTGAATATCAGTATAGTAATATGTCAATAAATGAAAGACTTCTCGTGGAGATTCATAGTATTGGACTTTACCCAGATTTAGTGGTATGTTTGTTTTTCCTTCAATATGCAGATAATCTTGTATAATACGTTATATTTTCACAGCCTTTCCCTGATTTCTCTGCATTCCTGTGATTGCCATGCCCTTTTGATCAGCCTGATTTGTGTCAGAATGGAGAAGAAGAAATCAGTGGAGATCTTAGTAGATTAGATGAGAAGTATCAAGAAGAGGTAAGATCAGATGTTTACCTCTCCTCTTCCTATTTCTCTACTGCTCTGTCAATTCAAAGAAATAAGAGAGAGAGAAGGAAAAGAAAAGAACCCTAAAGGAAAAAGAAAAGAAAACGAGGGTCTGTACACTTATTACGCAAGGATTTTGGAAGTTTCATATCCTGCTTAGATCATCAATCATGATGCTCAGAATCCTTTTTCATTTATGGAGTTGAATACCAATGGAGCATGCAACTATTAGTTTTCCACTCTCTCGGTGGTTTACCCTGTAACCTTGATGTCGATGAGATGTACTTTTTGTGTGAAGTTTCTTAAAATCACAATTTTCTACTCAACTATTCTCTTTTTGTTCTTCTGGTTAATGTTGAATCTGAACATGTTTAGTTCTGGAATTTAATTCAAACCTCTGATTTTGCATATGTTAGATACTTCTTTTTATATAGTGAAGCTTCTAGATTTCAGTGAAGTGTATTATTCATGTCAGGAGCCTTTCTCATATTTTAGTTGATGAATAGGTTTCAAGGAAGAAAAGTTTGCTTGGCAAACTGCTAAATTCAGCTTCTGAGGCTAAAGAGCTTCAAGAAAAGTAAGGAGTTTGTTCTTTATTTTCAGACGTGGTTTATTTGTGATTTTTACTTGACTATGAGTGCTTTTTGTCAATAACCCAAACACTTTATTCTATCACAGCCTGTTCGAACAGTGTGCTTTAGAGAAACTTGTAGGATTGGCTTACGAAAAGTACCGGGTATTTTTTCTATTCTATATCCTTTCTTTATTTAATTGATTTTAAATGCGCATTTCCCTTTTAAAAGTATGTAAATATAATTTGTCTGCGTCATGGATTGACACATCAAATTTATTTGTGAATATTACATGTATATCCATCAAGTTTGTTTGTTACAGGGAATATGATTTCGTCCATGTCAATATATTCTTCCACCTTAAAATTTATGACAATCCTAGTCAATCATTTTTTCCTTTTTTACCCTACCTTTTTTATCAACTGGAAAAATTAGTACAAGAGGCAGGGTGACATACCAGCCTTACCTCCGAAGGTCGAGGAAGAAAAAGAAGGATTAGCAAAAGCTGAAATTGAAAGTACTACTCTTGTTATAGTGAGCCATTACAAAATTTAAATTTGGGAGTACTACACTCATTACAACAATAGAGACAGAGGAATGCAGTAACTCAATTGACCCAAGAAAACTCAAGAAAATAATATAACTAAGTCTGCAAGCAGGCACTAAAGACAACCAAATACACAAGCAAATTACACATAGCATGAGTATGCAGTCACATGTGCAGTAAATTAAATAAAATAAAGTAATGCAATGATGGATCCTACAGTAGGCTGGAAAGCAAATATGCAATAACCTATGGCCTAATATGCAGCAGTCACACTACATGGAAATGAATAAATCCGACTGCTTTCTCTTCCATTGTCCACTTGAGACTCATTCTCAAATATAGAAAGCAAACTTTGGTATGGATTTATTATCAGATCTGGGAGAGATTCATCACCGAAGTTTTGGTAAGCATTGGAAAAGCATCCCAGCAGGTTATTGAAGAAGTAGACCAATCTCAATCATCTACTTTGCATTAGAAAACAAGGCTGTTTAGTCAGTTTCTTTGGGGCCTGCAGATAGGGATTCTCGTTCTGTCTGTATGTAAGATGCCAATAATCGTCCCCATTAAGTCTTTAGCATATAATATTCTGCTCTATTTAGTTTTGTTATCTTTATTTTTTATTAGTCAGTCTTAGAATC